TTTTTGGGATATTGATACTTTTGCATTCCAAAGTGAGTCAACCTGTTTCTGGGATAGCAACATTTTTGTACTCCAAGGTGAGTTAACTCCCATCTGGGATAATGATACTTTTGCATTTCAAAATAAGCCAACTTCTTTCTGGGATAACAATACTTTTGCATTTCAAATTTTACAGAAACTTGTGTTTTTAAAAAATATCTGAATTTGTGGAATATATGGGTTTGGATATTTAATATTGCTGACATGTGGTGATATCACCATGACGTGATCAAATTTTTTGGTAATCTCGTGATGCGAACTTGCAATATTCGCTGGTGTCTCGTGAGCATATTACCTCATTAAAATACTCTTATCACATGCCACCTTATTATTATATCTTGTATGTTTGTGTTGCTGGAGTTGGAATCATAGAATATGCAAGTCAACGAAATGCCCAGTGACTACTGGTAGTAGATGCAACGGTTCATACATACACATGCCCTGTAATTCCAGGTGTGCTATATCATTACTCACTGATGAATCATTGTCTATTTACTGATCGAATTGTACTCGACAAGATTTACAAGAATATATATATTTTATGGGGTTTACATGCACGTATGATCCAATAGAACTCTTGGCTGATGGGATAATACAATTGTATATGTAATCAGATGTCTGAACGAAGGGGGAAGGGTGATGTAAGATGTCGTTGCCTACTAACCTCACTACTATTAGCTATATTTATTTACTAGATGCAAGCTGTGATCTTGGAAATGATATGAAGTTTGCTGTCGCTTATGTTTCATCCGAATGGCAGTAGAGGTAGATTTATCTTATTGCTTGCGCTGGTATTGTGACTGATATACATGTTACTTCAATTTTTAGGATTGTTCTTTTTCTCATGCTGGTTGTTCTCTCATTCATTTCTTCTACTTGAATTGAGTGGTCATTAATGTATGTATTTGTTTATCACTACCGTTATTGCTCTAAAATTACTTTTATAATACTGATGTTGCGTGCTTATCATATCCTTACTGATAGCACAACATGCAACAAACAGAACGGACGAAAGTTAAGCATTGAATGATCATTGAAATTTTCATCATGTGGATTATCTTTCGTTATTATTGCGAGCACAACACTTAACCAATTATATGCTACTCATACGATCACGCTATAGAACAGCGAATAGAAAACCATAAAACTGTTACACGGAATAGTGACTAGTACTTTCTCTTTATTGACGTATTGAGCTTGTTTTCCTGACTTCGACAAACTTCTCAATATTTTGTATATATTTTTCCGCAGTGTCCTGTTGTAAAAGAAAGGCACGTACTATTTCCAAGCTAGCGATTTGCTAATAACAGGACTTTCCTCGCTATCATCTATCCGTAATTGCTTGATCAGTAACCTTAAAGAGATATACAAGTTCGTGGTCATTGTCGGAAACTTCATAAATAATATTCTCTTCAGGAACTATTTGCGACAATTATTTATTATATTATTGTGGCGTTTATGTCATCTTCGCTTAATTCGGAAAATGTGATTAAAAATTTTTACTATTTTAGCTGATATGTCAATGTATTTCATAATTTTACTAGTACGTGTATTAATAAGTAAACTAATGTCACGTGCGTGCACATAGGACTCAAAATCGCTTGCTGCACTTATAGAGGTGCCATTGTAATGAACTTTAAAACCCTAAAACTTTTTACACATGTTATTTTTAAAATTGACCGGTAACTTGTGGAGCTTACGACAAAAGTACCGGTGTAGAAAGTTTTAGGAGTTTAAAGTTTTTGGTCACGTGAATGTCGAGTATAGATATTAATATTAATATCGTTGCCAAAATACTATTAATGTCACATGAGTGCAAATTTTTCAGTACAGTTGAACCTCGCTACGAAGTGTCGGGAGGCATCCATGATTCGATATAACGAGACTTCGGTATAAGTTAGGCCTAGGGTCAAGCAATATTTGTTATAATGAGACTTATGTGAATAATATCTTTGCTTCGATTTACCAACAAGAAATCATACGATCAAAAATATTGGCACACAATATGACAGCTAAAATCATACTATTAAAAAATCTTAATAATGTAATATGCAGATATAATTACTGAAATCGTATGACCAAAATCGTATGATCCTCATCATTCACTATTTTACATTTTATCACGTGAAAAACTTCGATTAGCAGCCTATGTAAAAATCTGCATCGAACTTCGGTAACGGTATAACGAGATTTTACTAATTAAAAAACGGAGGGGAAATTTCGGTATAACGAGGTTCGACTGATGGCTTTTCTTCGCCAGTTAATACCTCGAGCGCTACGACATTGTGTTGTTCGCTATCCTAGAAAGGAGTCAAATCGTGTTCCAATGGGGAAAAACAAACACAATTACGAGATTGATGATAATAGACGCATTATGGAATTAAAACTACCGAGAAATTGCGGAAAAGTGTTTAAAGATCAGGTGGCATATTTTGAAAAAGTATTGGTAACCAACAATGAGTTGCTAGAATTGAGTACAAGTATAAGGCAATCTAAGACAAAGCGTATACAAGACTTGGAGAAGACATATAAACATCTTGTGCACAGATTAGAAGAGAAGGATAACCTTATACGACGATTAAAAGAGGAGAACAAAGAACACGTACAAGCATTAGAGAAATATGATCATGTTGTTGCGCAGTTTACAGATTTGATGAATCAAAAATTAGAGCTGCTTGAACATCTCAAAGGAAGGGTGATTCAATTTGAAAAAATTTGCGATGTTAGGTCAGCTTTGGAATATATTTGGGCAAAGGTAAGGATTCGTATTATGCAATAAATGGCTTCTTTATTTTTATTTACTATAGATTTTTGCAAAAGATTCTTGCAGAGACTGACAAACCTTCCAAAACACTGGAACCTGTTGGCGTTGTATTACAGTGGTTCTTTGAAAAGCACCAAGAACATGTGCGGAAAACATGTGAGATGAATAATTTGGACTTAAATTATGTGAAAGCCCGTGTTGCCAACCTCTATAATATTTCGTGTAAAAGATTGCATGGGTATAAGTCTGCTGTTGTGATTTGTGCAAAATACTGGGAAAAACCTGAGGTAATTGCTTTGGCTCTCATGTTCTGGCATTACGATATTTGTTTTGTTTATTATGATAAGTGGGGATGGCAGTTGTGTCGTCGTTTCCCATACAAGTTAAATATCGACATTAGGGGGGATTTCGGTTTTTTGCTTTTAGATAGTGACGAATACCCCAGCTACGTTCCGTTAGTGTTTCCGTTACTGAGAGACGGTGAAACTTGGAAGAGTAGAAGGAGGCGCCGGTATGAAATCGTACGAGATATCGGGACTGGGTGGGTTCCGAACTGAGACGGGTCCCAAACTCGGACACAACATATACATCGTGGTATAAACAGAGTTGACTGTACTTTCGAATTAAAAGACCAATGCATAATTTTGACTATTTGCCCAATAAATTAGAAGGTATAGCAATTTGAAATTAAATTAAAATTTAGTCTAGACACATGCCTCAGAGCAATATCCACTCTCATTTAATTTTTTTAGCCGCCTTTTAAATATGTACTATTGTACGTGTATATGTCATATGTAAAGTCCGTCCCAAAATCTATGTACCCCCATTTGTCAGTTATAACATAACTTGTTCTTAATAATTTAGACAGCTAACACTACCAGTACACTCCCCTGCCAAAAGTCACGAGACTGTTCTAAATTTACTAGTAAAACATAAGAAATTTTCTTTTTTTTTTTTTTTTTGAAAATCTCTTGTTTGCAAACACTATTTAAGTGATAATAAATTTTATATGGTTTTGAAAGTAATTGACAGTACTTTTGAAAAAAGAAATAACAGTAAAATTTAACAATCATTGGAGATTCAAGAGAGAAAATAAAGGAAGAGAGGAGTTTTGAAATACATGTGAAGAGAGGAGAAGGAAGAGGGGGAGGGTTTTACCATAAGGAGAGATGAGATTGAGCATGATTAGATATTGTTTGAAAGAATTGGAGAGTTGGATGTGTTAGGAGAGTCTATATAAGTTCATTTATATTCATATTGGATTGTCTTATCTTATAACAAGTGAAAAAAAATATGATAATGATGTGGTTTTTCACCTTGTTCAAACCATAAAATTTTGGATCTTATATAAAGGGAGACAAGTTTTTTGTGTTCTAGCTTAGCAAGGGTATTTTACATGGGAAATAAGAATGGTGTCAGTAGTGATTATGATTAACTTATAAATACAGTTTGTGAGGTTCTTAATAGAAGATCTGGTTTCTTTGCATATGAGGAATGTCATAAGGTTCTTAATATATGGGTTTGAAGAAGAGATGTTTATATGCCATTGTGGACAAGAAATTGTAGTGGAGGATTTGAAATTAAGGGCTCAATATCAATGATCTGAGAGAGATCCAAGGGGTATGGTAAAAATTGATTATGAGGAAGAAATAAAAGATGGAGAAATCAATTCGAGATTTTGAAAAGTAATTAAGTAAATTTTGAAAGAACGTGAATCTAAGAGGACCAACACTAAACACCAAGTCAATAATGTTTGGTAATAGAGGCTGATGTTGGGTTATTATGATTAGGGGAAGAAGAGATTCGATCTCAAAGGTGAACTGTTGTATTAAAATCACCACCAACTATCTTGGGAGAGAGGATGGCAAGCCGATCTGGTGAATCAGATAAGCGAGTCACCTTCCTCCGCAGTCAAGCAAAATCTCTGATTTTTAGAATGGTAGTACGGCACCGCGCATTTTCAGTGTCAGATGAATTTTGAGTGTCAGGCGCAGAAAATGTTTCGATTTTTCATTAGCTAACTTAGAATATGATTAGTTCTTCAATTATTTTGATTTTTGAGTGTCGCTAAAAGTATATAAGCGACCCTTATCCCATCGTCGAATTCTCATGTTGTATATGTTGTAAATATTGTTCATGTTGTTATAAGATATTGTTCAGTTTGTTAGAACATTAATTCCCACTCCACGGAATAACAATCAAATAAACGATTCCCTTTGAAATCGAAACTTTACTTTCTTTCATTGTTGAAATGTTAATTATCTGACCGGACACACAAATAAACGGCTCTATCAAGCTGTAAACGGATAAGTTGTCCGCTGATTTATTGAGGAACGAGAGCTTATAATTGTTTAATTAGTATATTAGAAACAAGTGACGGATATCCGACGTCGGGAACACCAAATCGAAGATAGCCCTGTTTAATTATTAAATAAAATTTTATTCCCCTTCGATTCTGCGGTAGAGTATTTGCTGTTGTTATTCCATCGTGGGTACCCTTCTTATTTGGAATTACGATCGAATAGGGAGTTAGGAAGCGCGCATTTTTAATTATTAAATTAGGATTAGAATTCAGTCTAAATTGAACAACTACCGTAATAAGGTGGTAGCACGAAGCTAATCTGGTAACATCCCTCGGAAGAACACCCCTACGCAAAAGATTAATCGCTCTCCCAAACCCCAGACCATCCGACCGCAACATAACGAGGGATTTTTTGGATTATAGTCAATAATTCAGACACTTTTATCCGACACTTTATGGTCTTACAGCATATTCTGAATATGGTTTGATCTTCATCATTATAACCAACACAAATTCAACTCACACAGCCCCCAAATTTCTTCGATGTGATTGGCCCTGATTTCTTCGAAAACTTTTATTGGCTCGTTACAAGCATGCACATACACAGGCAAACTCGATAAGTCGGTCTCTCGATGATTCAATTTTGGCCTAAGAAGGCCAAAACTTCCCAAGCCCTTTTCTCAGTTTTAATATTTAAAATCTCTCGATAAGTCGGTTCTCTCGATAAGTCGGTCCATCATACATGACCGACTTATCGAGTTTGCCTGTGTATATGGTGTCTCTCTTTACCAACAACTTGCGTTAATTCTATGTTTTTGTACTAAAGGTAAAGTTACGTGTAGGTTCTGGATAAACGCTAAAGGTGGGTTGCTAACTAACAACGTGTGCTCCATACTTACTTAATATAATATAATTTAATAGAGCCTGTCATATCTATATTTTGATACATCCTATAAACCGGAGCATCGCTGACAGGTCCGAAATGTCAAACTTGACAAGTTTCTAGCGGGATTTATCAGGGAAAAAACTGGTAAAGGTAGTGAGAGGGGGGTGCCCGCTGTTAAGAGTTCAAATTCTAGCCCGGCTAGCCACTAGAAACAGTAATAACAGTTTTGCAATTACACTACTAATAAGCTATTATAAAATAACACGAATATAATTATATTAAATGCGCAAACCAAATCATTGAGGTGAGTGTGATCAAAAAAGAAAGGGCGGTTACAGATATTAGATAATCAATGTTTATTATTTACAAGTTTAAGATTAGTAACCCCTATCTTTGGACAGGGGTGATTACTATTATGAGAATTATTTCTTCATAACTACTGTATAAGCCAAAACTTAATTCAATCAATACAAATACCCCTTTTAACCGGAAACAAGTATTGATTGCCAAGCTGTAACTACACATGTTCTTTGTATGAATAAAAGTAGGATATTTATGCTGAACAATAACAATTATGTTATGCTTGTTTGAAACATCACAAACAGGACCGCATTGCAATTGTACTACTCGTATAACGCTGCCGTTATATCTATCGTCATATTTGGTATTTACGAAACGTATGCTCCCGGCTGAATAGGAGATCGACTTTAATAGACTCTATTAAAGGCAAAAAATATGGATACAAAACAAAGGTGAAACGAATCTTAATATCTATCTAAGGAAAAAAAGTTTTATTCAATAAGATTCATCAAGAAGAAAGACAGACGCACGTTATTAACACAATTTTGGGAAAGAAACAATATGCCGATAGCTCCGTGTAGATATGAGAACGCTTTTGCTTTTTTCCGTGTAAACCTTTTTATTAACTTTTATTGGGGTTTTTTGGTAATGGTTATTAGTAATAAACCAATGAATTCATTAACCCTACCATATTATGTATACGATCAACTAGTATCTGTTCAATATAATGCAAGATGTCAATCGCATACGCTTGGCACTGTGGGTTCATTTTGTTAGCACTATGTTAAGAAGAGGCTGCGGCGTTGGCGTCAGCAACGGATTTAATTAAACGGCTAGCTTGGAACTGCCAAATGAAATTCGTACGACATGTTATCTTCGATTAACATTACTATTTCATTGTCCTGGACACGAGGAAATGCATCGGCGTTCTATAAAGGATAACAGAGGTAGAAGACAATGAGCCATGCTAATATAGCAACATCAAAGCAAAGAGATGCTTTTGGGCATTAAGGCATAATCGCTTCGATTTGTTGTATGCATATCCGAGTTTGTTGATTGATTGGCTGTTCTACTGCACTCGAATGCGAGGATATGATTTTGTGGACGGTTTTTTTTCGCCTCTGTTGTAGTAACGTACATATAGGACAAACATATCCGAAATATATACTTTCTTTTTCAGGTATAGAAATTTCTGCAACCTACACATTATTCGCGCGCATGCTTTTCTCATGTGAAACTTGTCGAGCGAGTTACTTTTAATGTCGATCAAGCAAAGGCAATGTTTGCAGCAGATCCCTAATACTAATCTTAATAAAGTTACTCAGGGACAGATTATAGGTAATACTTACTTGCTTTTCATTATTGGTATATGCTGCTTATCGATACATCTGGCATGACGGTTAATCAAAATCAGCCCGACTTTTTTCGCCCTTCTTTCCCAAGTTTCTTTTGCATGCAGTTAATGTGTTTTCAATCTATTGTACTCATTTCAGCGGCTTGTTAAACAATGTTTCCAATTCTAATATATTCAATAATATGTTACAATGAAACCCGTTCAACGAATAAATATGAATATACTATACTAATACCCTAAACCCAATGCATACCCCATACACATCCGTTTATGTTCCAAATTGGGATGTGCAGTTCGTTACATTACGGACGGACGAAAAAGAATACTACAGATGAAAATCTAAACAAGAACTGTATATGTAAAAAAGAGATAGATTACAAGAGAGGGGAAGGGATCGAGATTATATTGAACAGAACTACATGGAAGAGATGATGATAAATAATGTGAATTATGGATAAAACCACTTGTAATTAATTATGTGATGATAGTAAAATTATATAATTTTTTGTCAATCCATGAGGTGGATTTTTTGAAAAAGATCCCCGAAAAAAAAAAACGAAAAAAATGAATGTATGTATAAACAAATTACAAAATATCGAACCATAAATGTAGATTAAAATAGTAAAGCACCAATAGGACCCACAATACCCGAAGGTATGTGTCACAGCAATTACCCATACTTTTTCTTCTGACAATGTAAACTATTGTCTTATGTCTCGGGGAAAACCAAACTCCTCGAATTATATCTGACTTCTTCCGGTTGCGTCTCATTAATGTCAAGCCTAATCTGGTCTTCAGGCGGTATTATCCTCGTCCCAATCGGCGGAACGACTTGGCCGTTGTAATACATTGTTGAGGTCAGCGCATCAACAGTTATTTTCCCTGAAAAGACATTATCCACGCTTAACGGATTCTCAATGTTGTCCGAAGAGGATCTGGGTGACGAATCAGTTTGAGAAGAGACAACTTCACCCGCCGATGAGCAATGATTCAACAGCTCATCGTCGGTCGATCCTTTTTCCAGAGATCCCAATGTGGCAAGTTTGATTTGTCTCTTGAGCTTACGTCGTCGGACAAACTGATAGCCCAAACATGAAGCTATTGTGAAAACTATTAGGACTAAAACGATTACCCCGACTATATATTAGAATAAAAAAGGGGATGAAAGGAAATTTGTCAGCAAGATTGTTTTAACCGAAAAAAGCTCGGATGTTGTACGATCGTCGTAACACAAGATGATTTCTAATAATAGTAAACAAATTATAGTTCTTACAAACTCGGACTTACTTAGAGGAATCCAAAATTTCATAGCTTTAGCGGCCGGATTCGATGCAGCCTGGCTGTCAACGTTGCCTGCATCAAAGGTAGCCGAAATAGTACTGCTTGTCTGGTTTGAAGACAAATTCGCGCTGACGGTATTACTTGCGAGGGCTGCAGACGTAACGGTAGAAGGTATAACCGAAGATGAAGATATTCCTTCCGTGGGATTTTGTGTTTTCGAGGGCGAGCCAGTCGGAAGAGGGTTAGCAGAGGTTGGACGGGTGGTAACATTATTGTCAGCGTTGCTGTTGGGTGATTTGACGACGGGTGGAGGAGGAGGAGGAGGAGGAGGAGGAGGGGCTGCTGTGGTAGAGGGTGCAGATTCTGGGGGGTTTGGTTTGGGTTTGGGTGTGGGGGAAGGGACGGTCGGTGTGGGAGAATTTGGAACATGTGTCTGAGACCAAATTATGCATAGGGCTTTTTGTAGTACTCCATCTAAAGAAATAAAAGATTGCAATTAGATAGATGATTGACAACACAACGATTTCCCTTAAGAGTGCAATGTTTGTGACACACGTTTGTTTGTTGCTAGATGACTGTTTGGTCTCCTTTATCCGTTACTTACCCTGTGAGCACCATTGATCCCATTCGCTTGTTCCTTCTTTTGGAGGATTGCTCATATTTAATAATATTTGAAAAGTTCTTTCGAAATTTGTGTGGGCTATTCTACTACCACTATGCTGAGCACTGCTGCTTTTTGATATTGACAATCCTCCGCTTGAGTTTTTAGTTGATGTAATGAGGCGTTTTGTCTCTCCCAGCACCAGCTAAAAGTATATTTAATTTAAAAAGTTCATTTATGAATATGAATTCTAACTATTGTCTGGACGATATTTATAAACAAGTTGGTAGTGAGGATGAGGAAAGTATGATGGGAGGGCGGAAAAAGAGGAGCGAGTGGGTTGTGATAAATGAGTGAATGAATTGATGATATGAACGGATAAGAGCTAAATTGATTTGCTTTTGCCTTCGATTCCCCGTTTATATATTATGGCTTCGGGTAAGTCGGTCGGATATTGGAGTATGACCATGTGGACGATTTTTTTCCTATTGCTTGATTTGGCTATGCAACCATCAGAATTTGGTATACAAGGTATCAAAATCTCCAGATGAAATAAAGTTCATATATCAATATAATACAGTACCATCATATATTGTCGTCAGTGTTCGTGTAACTTTTGTAACATTTACACTAATTCCAACGTCTTCTATACTATAAATTCGATCTCCCTGCTTATGTTTATGTGTTTGTTGTGCTACGGATGGACCCAATTGTTTAAACCATCATGACATGTATGATATGAGAACATCTTCATTCAACCCTCGTTTAATACATTGTCGAGCATATAATGCATACATACATATATGTATACACACATAGTCAGTTTTTTATTCTAGTTTCTTTTAGCTATCATTACGCCTGCTTAATTAGTAACCTAATTTTATTGCGTTGTTTGCCAAATCAGTTAATTATTTGAATAAGTGCTAATAAAACCAACTGTGGTTAAGAAATATATAGCAAGACCGGTTTCTCAGAATTGCATAGGAATGAAGGACGTTGTCAATTGATGACGTCCCAGCGCGCAAATTTGAATAGCGCTGTATGTAAATGACGCAAATATGACAATCAAATTGAATCATATCAATATTCCATTTTATTTGTACTAGCAATATTTGGATACGAGCAAGCCACAAGAGATATAACCATGCCAACAATACAAAACGCCACTGATACATACCATTCGTCTTCTAAATAATATTATTACTAATAAAAGCGTATAGCATTATGTGATCATCCATGTTATTCGCTCAACACATTACACATTACACAGTTAATATTCCCCCACTGTTTCACTTAATTATATACCGACTTTCCCACAAATGCATGACGCCATCATCCAGGCGTGGAGAATCGATTATTTTACTCTCGGGTATACACGATAATTTTCGGTCGGCACGAAAAGGATTGGGACGCTTTACCATGCAGACTATGATGTAACAAAAAAGTTGGCTAATTGTTCGATATACCAAAAATTTAAATTCATACATGTCTTTCGATCACGAGTTGAAGAGACTCTCAATTTCGGTGGCGGTGGAGGTCATGCGGAACGTCAGTGTTTGATGTGGGAAAATCCCGATATTCAACTCGGTTGACTATAAGACTATATAGCCGATACCCAATACATGATACGTTAAAACTGTTCTTGTCATCCGAATAAAGCATCTCATGCAACAACATGTAATCATATTATATTCTCCATTGATATTTTAATCGATATAATAACTCTGACAATATAAATTGATATTGAATGAACAACATACTATTTTGGTTTCCATGAAAATAAATAACGAGATTAAACTCTTTGCTATTATAATCGTATCTTCCGATCTCCGTGGGAAGTTACATCATTTGACAATTTACTTGTTTCACCTGGCTCACTGAATGAATTCGAAATAAACGTGTTAAAAAAAGATATTTTGGGGCAAAACTCCTTAACAGGACTCTTGTCACATATTAACCTAATAGATTACTACGGTACTCTCCACCAATGTTATGATTCAAAAAACAATAATAGTCGCAAAGGCAAAAAATGTGGGAATCAAAATAGTTGGCATCAATCATCCTACTCTGCACTTTCTACTTTGGGAAATCCATTTTTCTCTTATCAATATATTGGTGGAGTTTGTACAAACTAATTACGTATGCCATAAAGATTTAGTTCTCTCTGCAATTTTGTTTCGTTGTATCATTTGTCCTGCTATTGTACAAAACGTCATTGATTTCCATTATAGCCAAGAGCTTTTTTAAACAGTCCGATTTGCACAAGAAATTAAAAATATCAAATTATGTCGTCTAACAAAAGGTTTACTTGATATGCTTTCCCAAGTCTGCTTACTGTGTATTTACATCTATGGATCTCAAATGAATCGCAATGTTTTTTGAAACTACGTGTCTGAATTGTAAAAGTCTTGCTGACAGCTTTTCTTCACAATCAGAAAGTTTATTTCGTATTTGAACTGCATAATTACATTATCATGCATTGTGGTCTTTGCACAAGAGTTTGATTACATCATAATATCTATCTGTGGGTATGGCGATCTACCTCACCTCACTTGGTACCGTATCAGTCGAGTAACTTTGTTCATGGTTGCAGCGAATATAGTTCCAAGTTAAAAAGTCGAACGGAAAAGACTAATTCACTCGTGTCATTATTAAAATATGTCACTGAACGTTGATATCACACTTTTATTTTGTGATGTGTATTGTGACGGATTAATACGCGATACACTAATATTAAATTATGTTTATCCCATTCCCCACCCTTCTGGTGAACGGTGGATGTCCGAAACCATCGTGGTAATAAATATTTTCAACGCAGATGTTTGTACAGATAATTTTGGTAATCTCGTTTTACACGCGTCTTCCTATTATTACCCGTCATCTGGTTTACTACCAGTGCTAAAAAAGAACGTAAATGTCCTTGTCGCAAGTCCCGCTCTGCGTCATAACATATACTTGAGTCACCACGAATGGGATTTATTCCTGGCGATCGCAAATTAACGTTCGTGCATATATGGTTTACTTAATCTTTGCACACTAGTTGCTTATTTAAATCGCTTGAGATTGTTGACAAGAATACTATCAATAAAAGAACTGTATACACCTAAAATTGTCCATCCTTATAATGTTTTATTTATACGTTCAATCAATCTTTGTCTCGACATTAAATATACACCTACAGAAAATAAGTTGACATTGCAAACTGTAAAATTAATTATTTATATAGTTTTATGTGCGACTTTGCATAATGCGCAGATTATAAGTCCAAAGTATGTATACGCAATATGCGTCCTCTACTTGTAATTACAGACTAAGTACAGACCCATTACAGTCCCAGACTAACTCTTGCTCACAGCTCTTCGTTCTCAGTATCCTTATTACCCTCTTTTTTGTGCAAAAGTTTTGACAAGTTAACAATGTCGACCAATCTCTTGGAGCGCAGTTCTGCCACTTGTATTAATCGATGTAAATCTTCAATCTGAGAATATAAGCTATTTGCTGATGGATTTTCCATTGAAAAAGATGATGCCTTCTCCGATTGTTCATCACTTGTTTCGTCTGATGTAGCATTTTCACCGTCTTCCGTACGTAGTGCTTCTCGCTTGGCGGATATTTTATTTAAAATTTGGGCACGCTCATCCTTATTTAGTCTGCTGTTTAGCCATTCTACGAGAATTTTATTGTCTGTTAAAGTTAGCTCATCCATAATAGATTCAAAGTTCAGTAACGGAATGTCTTCACTTCTTAGACCTACTGGTCTTTGGTCTAATCTCTCGCTTAGTTGATTCATCTTATACCACATATATGAGTTGACTATAATCGTAAAAATGAATGCGAACATTATTATTGAATTCATGCGAGGCATAGTCATGTTCTCGATTATAGCTGATACAATAGAAGTTATATTTTCAATGATGTCAACCAACAATGCAATTGCTTTGGCTGTTGGAGACAGATTTTCTATATCGTCCTCATTGCCAGTCGACCATGATAGACGATGCTTATTAGGTCGACCAGCCCTATTTGAAACAGACAAGTCCATATCCATGTCCGTGCCATTGGTCTCTTGCTCCTTGTATTCTTCTGAGGATGACCCTTCAAATTGCTCTCTGACTGGCGATTTAATATCGTCCTGAAATTCAGATGGATGAGCTCCGATGTACTTTCTGATTGCGTGAGCTAGACGTTTCTGATATTCTTTTTGTCCATCGATACATGCCCTTTCAATTGTGCCTGAATCAGGAAAAAGATAATGTTAGTCAAAAATTTGTAGTAGATGCTGCCCATTCGTGTAAATAGGCGCGGTGCAAGTTACCATTTATATGGAAGAAGCATCTAATAATAACAAGCTATCGTTGTCGCAAGTATTTCATTATGTACTACCTTTGAGCCAACCAGACTTTGTAAATTCGGCCGCACAGGTGACTATGACACGCGTCTGGTTCGGCCCAGCCCACATGATGCATCTTCTCGTCTTCACACTAAAACTACTTCCCATGGGCACATCTGGCGTTCTCGTGGTGGTCTGATTGCATACGTAGCTGAAAGGTTTGAAATTTTAAATAATTTAAGCACCGGCAGTAACGAATTGTTAGTGAAGAGCAATCAGCTAAAATTCACTTACTTATCAAAGTCACGATATATACATTCGTCTCTTAAATAACATTTGGTGCTTTTCGGACCTAGCGAGAAATTAATCAATATTCGGGTTAATTGCGAAAAATTTGCACATGAAAGTCAGCAAGTCTATATATATTGAGCAGTTTGACTAACCAATTGAGCCGCTAAGTGGCATGATGTAACTCGATGTCCGAACCAACGTGCCATCAGGTTCAGATACCCATTCACCTTGGTTAATGTCTACAAATAACAATCGCATTAATAATAATCGGTTGATAAGCACAAGACTGTCAACTGTCTTTCGCGGACATACTTACCAGTACATTTTTCATTCTCTTCGAGGAATTTTCTCATAAATCCGCTTGTAAACATCAGATTGTATATCTTCTCAACAGTGCCTGTAAACGTCGTATCTAAAGCGACATTTGGATGATGTTCTCCGCTTTTCAGACAGTCACAAACGCTGGATTGTCTCCTCTTTTTAAACCCAACATTTGCACCCGGCAAATGCGTTTCACCTATTGCCCTCCTTAACCCATCAGAGTTGGGCGAATTAGGCGAATTAAGTGTCCCGTTCAAACTAAGATCCTTCAATGCAGCTTCAGATTTAGACCTCCGCCTTCCTCTTTTGGTTTTCAAATCAGTCACTAACAATTTCTTCGGAGACGGAGGGGTTGATTGTGCATTCGTTTCAGGAGGTGGCTTCTCAGGCACGCTTGGCGATTCCGTTGAAGGGATTTCCCGTACGACTGGTTCTAGTTGATCAGCGGAATTTGTATCGCTACGGAATTTCATTGCGTCGAGATTAAGTTTGGGCAGAGTAAATTTCTTGCGTTTCGGTTTTATATTTGAAACTGTTTGGATAATACATATACGTGTTGAAGAAAATTCGCACTTGTGAATACAGAGAGGTCAGGTGGATGGTGATCTGCAGGTAGGCACTGGCATTATAGGTGACTGATACCGATACATCCGCATCGCAACACTTACCAGTTTCCCCATCCAACTCATCATCGGATTCTTCGGCCTCTTCAGCTGAACAAGCACTCTCACTTTCCATTCCGTTTGGATCTTCAGTTGACGGTGTGAGCATAAGTGCTGGATGAGATTGTTTCCATACTTTGTTTAATAGATCGAATGCAGTATCACGAGCCAAGAAGGATGCGAAAAAATGCTGCGAATAATATAAACAGAGGAATAAATATACTGTAAAATTCGCATCAACATAAAATGAAAGATTGTTACCTTGCTATGCAGAGTAGAGACAAGAATAGCATTCGGGATAACAAAAGCCGTCATTCTCTTCTCTATCGACACTATATCCGAAAACGGAATGACTAACTATAATAGGTAATTGAAATATGGCATTAATACAGCTAAATTAATTATGCTTAATGTCACTAGTGCATCAAGCTTACATTGGTAATCCAGCCGAATATATTCGCATTGAAAGTAAGATGATTCATTGATATGTACAGTCTTCCTTGCACCAAAATCTCTTTCTGTAAAGCACAGCCATAGTCTGTAACGTCCAAAACAGAAAGATAAGATACGAGAGCAATAATGTAAGCAAATGGAGATAGAATCGCTTATGCAACTTAAGAAATTCGAAATTTGAGGAGGATGAATCTTTAATTCCCGTCAATAAGAAGTCATAATCCTCACCATCAATAAAATGATCATCCTCTGGCAAATTCTTAAAAGACATATGAAATTCTGAATTCCGCTTTGGATTAGCCAGAGTAAATCCGCCAAGACTCGCATTAGCCTCGTTCGTCCCTTGCTTTAATGTACGGTCAGCGGCAGGCCGTTTCTTTTTCTTTCGTCCCTTTCCTCTTGATTGTTTGTCAGATATGCTTAGAGACCCATTCGATCCCTTTTCGCTTGACGTTTCCTGAGAATTCTCGCTTGTTCCATTGATAATAGGAAGAGGCGTGTTATTGTGAATATATATAGAAGGGCTTCGTTCAGGGAATGTAGAAGTCGTATCTTTGACAGTGGGAGTGACCGCTTCGGAGTCGTTGAAATGGTCCAGAGTCAAGGCTTGTATAGGTGAAGCGGAAAGTGGGGCAGGCGCAGAATCAAGAATATTTGAAGGACGTTGAGGACTATCTGAGCGTTTGCGCTCTGTTTGATCCTCGTTAACAAAAGTCGAGCTCCGTTTCTCATCTGGCATTGGAGCTGCGACGTTTTCTTGCGACGATGCTTGTGAAAGTGGGGTAGCTTCTTCCGATCCAATAGCGGTCGCGTCTTGAGTTTCACTGTCCGACGGGTTTCGTGAACTCATGGCATCCATCAAGGACGCCGAGAAAGAAGAGACTGCATTCGAGGCAGCTGATAACATCGCGAGCAGTCGTACCTTGTAGAAGAATACGGTCCTAAAAGGTTTGGATATTAGTTATGTTTAATTTTGGGAAAAGTGCAAAAAGAAGTAAGAATTCGATGTTTATTGCTATATATATATTGTGGAAGGAGAGAAGCTGATTATTAATTGATTGGTTGTTTCAATGTTTGTGTGTGACTTATCCAATGGCGTGGGACGTGAAAAGACGAATTTTGGGTTTATACGCATAGAACGAATAAAGCTTGCATGATTACACATGCTTATTTGGTTGCGGGACTGTTTGGGCTGTTTGCGCGAATGTAAATAATACGACATAGTTCATCATATTATAATTTGCCGTAAGAATGATTACGAAAACAATGCATAATAATAAAATATTAATATCTGGCGTTCATTGGCAAAAAGACTTCTTTGTCTGCAATGGCTATTACTATTAATACAGAACGAGATAAATGCGTTGTGTAACCACAACAGTGAAATATAATTTCATCACTCTAATAAAACATTCCATTTACGTACGTATTAACTCGTCGGATATTTAATCATTCTCCGCGTGACCTCCTCGTGATTTGCGCAAGGAGATCGGACATGTGAATACAAAAAATTTTTTTTCTTCTTCTTCTTGAAACTGAATGTCAATCATTCCTTTCTCTTCCGATAATCGAAGTGGATGTTAATCAATATCGCGAGTGGCTGATACTTTTTAGTAATGGCATGTTGCAGAAAAAGTTTAGCTCGGTAAAAGAAACGTCTGAAAAGCATTAATAAGACAATCATGGCAGATGTATGACTAATAGTAATTACTTTGTATAGACATCGATGATACGCTTGACGGTGAATAATGGCTAGAAGAACAAAGAACACCCCGGTTTTTCGTCTTTAATGTCGTGTGATATAAGCATCTATTCAAGCGGTGAGTACTCTTCAGTTCTTGGTTCTTGGTACATAATTCACCGAATGATGTTAGATTATTGAATTTCTTCAAACGACGAGAATATCTCGAATGAGCGCAAAAAAAATTGAGCTTTTTAACACTGACAAGAATTATTAAGCAAAAATTCATAATTATCGGATAACAAAGGATCGATTTATTAATACAAGTTCTCGGTTATAATATGATATTCAGATTACATGCCAACAGGAAGCGTCTGTGCAAGAGTACGTCATTCATCAATCTTGTCTGCCGCTAAGGGCAATAACGCTGAATTGTGTCTCTGTCGGGTCGAGTTCCATATACTTCTTGATTATCTTTGCGGAATCCTTTGCACAATAAAGATAATTGTCTGCTTAGTTACGACGTATCAATTGAGAAGGATGTTAACGCGTATGCATACCTCGAGGAGATTCGTCACTGGTCCTTGATCTATGGGAGATGAATTTCGTCCATCTAATTGATAAAGGCGTCCGTTCTTTTGAGAAAAGCAAATGAAATGAAGTTTTACGTCTTCATCCGGTCGCGGGGCCTAAGAATGGTTAATACGTTTAAATGACCTGCATTAATAACATATTGTGAAGACTAATCTAGTCGTGTGCGGCGCTCCTTATTACCCTTGTCTGTCCAGCCTCTCCAGCACTCTGATGAGCTTCAGCAAGAGCATTATCTTCCTCAAGAACTCTAGCTCGTTCCTCTGGTGACGCGTCTTTGGTTTTCTCAATTAAACTCTTTAATGGACCATCAACTATGTGAGTCAAAATATTGGCAGAAGGATTAGTTGTAGTCTTAGCATTCTCAAAAAACTGTATTGATTACAATTTTGTATTTAGTTCTTGCTCACCTTGAATGGTATCTAAACTATTTGCAAGCGAATGTAATAAACCAATAGTGCCACATGCATTTGATATCGTCTGCTTATAAAATATGAGATCCGATGGGATGATTTGTTCTTCTTTTTGAGCTTGCTCTTTTCTGTACGCTTCGTTATTTGCGGTTATCGGATATAAAAGAAGAACCGAGACAACTGGTTGAGGGACCATTGCCAGTAACTCCGAGTCGAGACCTAGACAGATCATATGAAATTGTTAACGCTGAATTCGCAACACAGCGGCGTCCATCAGCATTAAGATGTAATATTACCAAATACATCCGTATAAGCCCATGAAGGTGATAAGCCGAGTTTATGAGCATACTGAAAAGATTTTAAGTCTCGTTCAATGTAATAGACAGTAACATAGCACGTAATGTAACCAAAATTATACCTCGTTCAGAACCTACAAAGGAAAAGCCAGTGAAGCGTTGCCAAATGAGATTTCGATTGTGATATTGGTCTTGAATAAATAACAGATGAACGCAGCAAGTATATACATACATCAGGATTAGATTCCAACGGCAACCATTTTGATTTTCTCTTGGTCTGTTCAGTCATTTTCCTATCGTAAATGAAGAATGCGCAAATCTAAAAGATTTCGGCGTATTTATATAGCACTAACTGATTGCTGACGCAAGGCTTACGCACGCCTTGGCAAATACCTCACGTTTGTAACCTCTTTATTCACATTCCCCAAGTGTGACTGTGAGACAAAATTTCAGTGGTTTCCATTTAAAGATGGAAGACAAACAAAAGGGTTTTAATTTTGTTTCGTCACCTTTTTTATAGGTATAAACGTTTCCCGCAGCACTATGTCACCTCTGGCTAAAAGGTTTTTGGATCAGATTCTTCTTTTTATGGGAAAGACTAAAAAAATTCGTATTAGCACAATCTAGCTAGCACATGCGATATATATTAAACAAATATGAGTTAATAATAGTTGTGCCTTCAAAAAATTAAAAATCCCTTGTCATTTGCATTCTCCTAAAATAAATTTATACCATGTAATTGTGTGTTGAAACTGTTATCTTTCGTTTTGTTTACATTTTTGCGTTTACTAGTCAGGCTGCCAACCATTTCTTGAAAAAAATCATAGACTAGCAGACTTTAAATCTTATTAAATAATTAAAAGAAATGCATGAAGTTCTAAGCGAGTGTTGGAAATAATGGCGGATCGAATTAGGCAGTAACCCGCATAGCTAAAGTTAGAAGATTTAGGCAGTTCAGAAAGACTTATTTTTCCGCTACAATTAGAGTGCCTTATAATGTTCTCATAGTTCGATTCAATTTATTTTATTATTAATAAACGAGTAGTTCTTTATACTCTTACTCTGATGCATATACAATAATTATTCATTCCCTGTGTTTAACGGTAATATATCGTTTAGGAGTATTCGCTTCTTGTCCCGCGATTACTCTCGTGGCAATTACGATAAATATTCGTCCCATTAGCAACGCGTTGAGAATTGTACATCACCCCTGAACTATAGACCATCCCATCGCTGGATAACAGTATTTATCCAGGATTAACGTCTATCGATCGACTATTGGAGAGTCGTGAATAGGTAAAGCCTAGTTTAGATATCACTAACTGACATTATATTTAACTTATTGAGTAGTAGTCACACCTCCGTGGAAAGGAAATCCCATGTGCCGATACTAGTCACGAAGTGGCTATCGCCTTTTAAATACCATTATCATTATCAATGAAGGCAATCACGGCAAAGAGTTGAGCTTGCCTCATTTGCCGACTGCATGAGTCATTTGGAGTATGAAACAATGTCGGTGCTGAAATTGACAATGAATCCAACGAACAGAGCTCGAATGTAGCTACGCATTTTATTCAAGAACAAACTCATTACCAGTTTCATAAACTTTAAATAATGTACTCTCTATATTTTCTTACATATTCAAATGATCTATCTCGGCAAAGGCAGCTAACATGTCAAGTGGAATCAATTTAGTAATAGGTAGATCATACAAGTATCCAAGTCTACCTCACCAAGTTGATTTTCGAAGTGAATGCGGCCAATTCCTAACACGTTTTCTGGCAAGTTCTCTTATTAGTACGTGTTTTTCTTATTAAGACGTCGACTGGCAGTTATTTCTCCACCATTCATTGCTTTCAACTGGGCCATTAAAAATATATCTTGCTCGGACATAGTATTAAATAGAGCTTGAAATGGCTCACGTAATTTTCTCTTGGAATTTTTTTTGAGCAACCACAAATGCAACCTGTCTCCAAGAAACGTATTGATTTGTCATATTTGGTGGAACAATTATGCTTATTTTAATACGCTGTTAATAATGCACTGGTAAATTTAATTATGAACATATCATCTCTTGAAAGACATTTCCATATACCGTTTAATGCTTTGTCATAACTCAACTCGATGTCATGAGACAAGAGGTCGGTCTTTTTGATTTCGATACGATACTAATATTAGTAATAAGACATAATTTCTGGTCTATTAATATACTTTATGTACATAAGTTCTGTATTGAAGTCTCTCTTATTATCTCATGCACATTATTATATATATAATATTCTTTAACCCTATGCATTACGTACAATTTTACGTTTACTACTTTTATCGCTTACGCAAATTGTCATCTGTACGTAATTAAGAATTCAGTTTTGATTACTATAAATATGTATCCTCGAAATGCGCCGTATAACTAACTTTACAATTCTATATGTAGACTCCTGACAAGTCGCAAACGTTAGTGTATAAATTGATATTAAACAGTAGTTTATTGAAATAATATATTTGAACTAATATTGTAGTTTACGAGACTTTCGCAATATTGCAACTCGCGTATGCGTTAAACTATATAGCTTGAACACTATAAATTAAGAAATAATCGACAGCGCCTGTTACTCAGTAGAATTGGTGAGTATTTTGCTGGTAAATTTGTTCTCACTGTTCTTTGATATCGGTTTAAGATCGCGATTATGGTAGATGCTTTCCCATAAAAGTCTTTTTTCAGGATCGTCAGAATTGATCTCATCTTCAAACCACCAGTTCACAGTTGATATTATTTCACTTGCCGTTGGACGCTCATCAACGTCCGCATCAATACATTTCTTGACTAATTCTTTATAAGATTCGGGTACCGAATCCGGTATTTCCGGTCGTAAACCGTCCGAGATAGATGCCATCAGTTGTTTATCATATTCCCGATCCCTAAACGGGATATCACCAGTAGCGATATGACACATGATTATACCGAATGCATATATATCTGACTTTTGAGTAAATCGGTGTGTATTGAAGAGTTCAGGTGCGACAAATGGAAGCACGCCATAAATTTCTTTAGCATCTATTCGGGATTCTCCGTACGGTTGAGAAAGTCCAAGGTCACTGATGTATAAAACACAATTGTTGTCTGTATCAGTTGATCGCCATGTGTACTTGACTATATTTTTCTTTTGAGCGTCCTTGATTTTCTTCTCTCTCGAAAGTATATTCCCACTATGAAGATCACAGTGAATTAATCCTTCTTGATGAATACCATCCAGTTGATATGCAAGATTACCTATAATCTGCGCTTTTGTTATCCATGTCATTTTGTTAATGTTTTTATACAAATATGTTGTAAGATTGCCGCCTTTTGCAAACTTCATTACAAGCATATATTCTTTCGTTTTTGTATTCTGTGTTGCTCCATAAAGCTTGAGAAAATTCGATGAAGTGACCGCACATCTTAAATGCGAGCAAAACTAAGCAATCGATAAAAGTTATAATTAGCTGTTGTCGTCATGTATTTGCTTTATCTGGAGGTTAAAATCTTACCTCGTGGAAAAATGATTCTATCATGTTACAAGAATCTCTAAAGCTTTTAAGAGCAACATGTTTTTGTTTTCCTCCAATAATGGATGACCCTACCCAATAAGCAGAATATATAGTACCATATCCTCCCTCTGCAACTTTATTTACCCAGTAAAGATCTTTATAGTCAATCCAATTTAATCTGGTGGAGTTTGTTTTCTGGTGTTCCTTGATTTTGTAATTCAAATCTTGTATAACAGACAGCAGGTCGCGGAATGCCAAAAAATATTCCTTTGTTGATGGATTTCGGGTAATGCCTACTATCCAGATATTGTCTGGACTTAAAATTTTTGGGTAATGCTCACATAACTACATCAAAAAATGACAGTAATATTGTTATCATGGACAAAAACAGTTGGACAAAAACACATTTATGTTTACTCAATCATTAGTACAATTACCTTATTAAAGTCAAAAGTTTGTGAATCCGTACAATTGTCAATTTTCTTTAACTTGAGCTTTCTCAGTCTAGTACCATGAGGCAAAGTTTCTGTCCAGTGGGCTAAATGGGAGCATCCATGTTCCAAAGATTGCCCTTCTTTGATGTTTGATAATTGAGCATATTCAATCCAGGTCAAATAACTGTCAGTATAATGTTTAACAGGTTCCCACGATTCTTGCATAAATGAATCCAATGATTTGTTTCCAGTTGTCCAATCAAGTGGATGGGGCAATTTGCATCCATTGCAAAATACATTATTCTCTAATGGATTATCACAAGCCAAACAATACCCATAGAGGTTACTTTTGTTATGGAATGTAACAAGCTGGTATTTTCCTGTCGCTTGCTTATAAGTAAAACCAAATGTAGACCAATATCTCTTGGAAGATATGTCAGGGTACATTTTACAAAGCTAATTAAATATAAATTCAATTTATATTACATTTAGTACATTAAAATACAACAATTTTATCAAAGTATTTTTTTTAAACATTTTACCTGATCATGAAGTTGCTGGATAGTTTCATTCGAAATGTCAATGAAATTAATCCATAAGTCATCACATGAAGGAAGTCCACAAAATGGATAATAAGTATCGTGAACAACTGAATCAAGGTTGTACAAGTTTCCCTTAAGTCTAAAAAACTCAAAGGGAATCCATTCTAAATATGGTTCATTGGGTGTCTTTGTCCGTATTTGCGAGTCTTTAATAAACTTGTCTAACAACTCATTTTGGCTAGTCCATCTTGTTGACAACTCTTTGTTGCCACAAATACACCAAACGGGGCTACATCTCAATACTCCACAAGCAGAACAAAATCCATATAGGAAATAATACTGATAAAAATGCCAATCAACAACCATATAATAGCTGCTTCCGTGTCTCGTAAAGCCGTAAATGGAATAATTACGTTTTTTGAGCAACCTGCCGTATCTGTCTGAAAACGATTTTGCAAACGGTTGCATATCTGAGCTAAGAAAAAACGTGTATTTCCGGGCACATTCGTTAATTGCATCTTCTGTTATCGCATCTTTATCTCCAAGAAATATTAGCACTACATATTCTTGACTCTTTGTTTTATTAACCGTCTTATATTCTGTATGTTCTGCATATTCAACTTTAAGCCAGGTGGCAGAGTAAAATTTGTGGTCCATATAATCTGGGATCTTTTTTATGAACGCAAGCTCGGTGCAAGAGATATATTCGAGATCTCTCACCATGATTCTTTGCGTCGAAGAGTAGCGTCCTTTGGTTTGTTTGATTAGACTATCGATTGCGGTACACCCGGAACTAATCTCATATTTGTGTAGGTTAGAGGACCTATATCCAAATTTCGGATCATACTTGAAAAGTGATATTCTATCAAATAGACACATTTCTAATACTAACAATCTCTTGCTTATATTCACACCCACTTATTTATATTTCAACGCCGGTTATTGTGACGGGTTGCAAATTCCTATTCTTATTCAACAAGGGGATCTGTGTTACACTTAGGGTTTCATCTTTAATTGTAATCAATGCAATCAATGCGACCAATGCGATCAATGAGTCAATGCGTACTTAGTCTATTTAAAGCAATTGGCGAACGAATAATCGTATATATCGATTCGGCCTATGCTGTAAGTAGTTTAGAGAACGAGCGTGATATGCGTGAATCTGCCATACTAACCAAGTGCGTTAATTCGAATACCTGGAATCGGTCAAAAGATGTCCTGGAGTGCAGGTAAACTTAAATTCTAACAGAAGCTTAAATACTAATAAAATGCTATAATAAGATGACGCTATTAAAGGCCTCTGTAAATTTACCCTTTTTAGGCTAACCAATTGTACAACTTGATGTTATTTATTATTAGAAAACCAACAACGCATGTCTGTATTTGACAATTGCTTAAAGAAAGCAAGTGCTTCAACGCCTATGTGTAAGTTGGCCCAACATTCCATTTACATACGATAGTGTACATGTATGGTCGATTAACAACTTGATTATAAATAAACTTGATTCGTTTGTTTTCATTATCCTGCCACGTGACAGACGATTTTCAACGGATAAACTTATTTTATTTTTATTTTTATTCCTATTTTTATTTTTTTTTATTTTTTGTTGAATCGATTATTTTAAGTGAAGTTTTTGGAATGCCTAATGCTAACGAAAAAAATTTTTTGGATGTACACAACTGGTTTTGACTAGTATAAAAATATATTACAAAAGAAAGTAGGCTCATCTATAATCAACTGATGTTTAAAGTAAACATACATTTGAACCATTTTTATAGTCATATTGTTCATCGTTTTCTTTTCCGCGCTTCCGCCCTAGAAATCAATCAATTCTTTCACAAATCTGTTAATTCCAACTAATTGCCTCATAACATCCACCAACTTAATCAATTCATTCCCCAAGTGACCGGTTTTAATAAGATATGCACAATAACAAGCATATGCCGGCCTGGCCAATTGTTCCTCGGTCAACTCGTTCAACGTCTTCACTTTACTCCAAAATTTTATTCCAGCCTTTGATACTTTTTTCGGGGCTATCGAATATGGTGGTAATGGAGATCGACGCTCGAGGGCATTAGAGAGAATGTGGAATGCTACTAGGATATGCGTGACATAATATCTCTTTGATGGTCGTTTGAGCACATTACGGATGTTCTCTTTCCATTCTTCATCGAGACTAGTAAGCGTGTGTGCCATTCTCGCAATGATACAGGTCATACGTTCGACGACATCGATCATATCTCCGTACAAGTCTCGTGGGAAATCGCCCCGAAGTGGTGGTTCGTATTTTGTTCTCGATAAGAGTAACCGTTCTGTGTTGGTCGATCGCTGGATTCTCCTCAACAACTTTCTGAACGTCTTTGTCGTGTGAACACACGGAGAAGAATCGTCTTTTAGGAAAAATGCTATTGTCATTGAATACAACACTCCAACTTGAGATATCGTTCGTGCCAGTCGATGTCTTATTTCTACTCTTCCCGTGTGTGGCCATGGGAGGATAGCCATGATGAAAGCAGTGAATATACCGGTTGAAACTGCTAGCGTACGTTTACCAGCCAAAAGGAAGATATCCTCGTCGTAATGGCCAACTCCGTGTACATTCTGATATTCATTTCCGAGTACTAGCGGGAATGTAATTAACATGATAACGCTTCCAACTGTCCACATTCGAGTATTGTGAAATATGAACCAAAGGAATAACGATATGAAGAACAACGTCGCGGCCAATCCGATTGGATTACCCCCCGTAATCAACCAAGCAATAACAGCCAATCCAGCTCCGACAAATGATCCACAGATACGACATATGAATTGCAAGATGGCTCCCCCGGTAGTAGGCCAGAATGCCAATATAGCCGTAATAACTGCCCATTGGCCCCGCCAGCTTTGAAACGTCGATGACGTAGATGGTATAAAACAAGGTAGCATCAAAAGTGTAACAATAAGCGTATTCTTCATTGCGAACCGAACGTATTTGCCACCGAGCCAGTTTCGTATCTTCCACAACCGATACCAGAATATTTGAGACTTTGTATGAGGAACTCTAACGTCAGGATCGCAGAAATCGTCCTCGCCTTCGCCCATGTCATCATCGATACGAGGATCGGGTTCCACTACTTTCCAAGTTCCTTCTTCGATTGCTTTTCTTATTTGGATGCGTTTTAAGAACGGCATAGGAGGCCACCAGAGTTGTTTCTTTCTACGGGACGATTCCAGGTGTTTAACTAGGCCAATAAGAACTTGTAAGCCTACAGCGAATTCTTCGAGGTTGTGTTCGAATAAGAGCAGCAGTAACGCTAGTCGTTGTGGGGATGGACTGATAGTTTCATTTGCAATGAACAGTTTTTTTAGTCCCTCGTTTCTTGCATCGTGAAACTTTTCCAAAGCGTCAGACATTACGGCCATAGGATCTGGTAGTAAGTTCTTGATATCGTCTTCATTGCATCCCTTGCACCAGACCTTGTACCATGATGGATGACAATCATGACGAAGGTGGGCAATGCGAGAAGCACAGTCTTCGAGACAGATTTGACAGGCTTTGGCGAGGTCGGTACAGATAGGACGGATGATTTCGAGGAGGTGTTGAAAGTCGCGTGTGTTTCCCGTTGGTGATGGTGGCGGCTCGTCGTCGATGTACGATGCGTTTTCGTCCAAAAAGTCTACTCTCACTTCCGGAACGTTATTGGATTCATCGCATACGAGTTGTTCTTCTATCATCCCACTTAGGGCCAGTCCGTCTAGAGGCATGTGCATTTGTTTGACGATTTTGCCGATTTCAATTAGATCCATTGGGCCTATTTTCGAGTATGAAATTTCGTGCAATGAATCTCTCTTGACGTTTTGTAGATTCATTAAATTCTTTTGCGCTTTCTTCTGAAGTGAACAAATGGTTGATTTGTTGTATGTGTTACGGAGGAAGAAAGATGTTTCGTGTTCGAGTAGTGCAATAAAGCTATGCAATGTCTCTATCAAATGGGGAATATAGTTTGTTGTGCCGTGTTCGGGCCATAAAAGTTGATTTACGACCAGAGAGATGATCGGGCCGATGAACATTGGGATTACCAAATTGCGCTTTAAAAGGTTAGAAAGAGGAAAAGCGTCAGATAGGCGAAATGATTCTCAAGTGTTATATCGCAATTTTAGATACCTAATTATTTCTACTTACCAACATTACTTTACTCATGGCGGGTTGAATATATGCTGTGGACAATGAGAATACTATTACAATCAACGCATATACCGATCCAAATCTCATCGTTGGCCATTTTATCTTTACGTAAGATATAACAAACGTTCCAATTGATAAGCTAATGAGGTATATGGCTGCTGCTCCGTAATTGAATACTTCATCTCCGCGTACATAGTTGCCAAGCTCTATTGCTGTAAATGAAAGAAGAGTACCGAAGCTTACGCCAATTATACCCCAGAATACGCTCTAATTTAATGCAAGTGGTGGGAATGTGTTAGTAAGGATAACTTGTGATCTTTGGTCGAAGAGGATGACGAATGTGACAGCGATAGCAATAGTATGTGGCCATGGTAATGATGACAAAAGTAGCAACGATAATCAACGTAAACACTTGATAGTCGGAAATCACTGTTCACCGGGGAGGTGGGGACAATGTATTACGTAACATATGTCGATCACGTCTCAAGTTTATCATATGACAACAGTCATCATCATCACACAATCGGTTCAATTCAGTCCCCACAACTCACCTCCCATAATGCCCCACACGTTCGAGCAGGTTGGAAATACACAACAGCAACAACGGCAAGAAAAGTAGCGGGCCCAATGGCAGACATTACGGGTACAATCAATTCGATTAGGAATGCCAACCAATATGCAACAGCCGCTCTGAGGACTTTTTTAGTCATAGGCCAGGTTAATTTGGATCGGACATATCTAGAGTATGCACATAATTTTGCAACAAAGGTGAAGGATGGTACGTCACATGAGGCGGTAGAAGTATCAGTGGCATTAACAGCATTAGTGGCATAAGCAGCAGCATTAACGTTATCATCAGCATTAGCAGCAGCATTAACGTTATCATCAGCATTAGCAACAGCATTAGTAATACTAGCCGCCGTAGAAACATTGACTGCTGTAGCCATCGTAGCTGCAGCAGAAGTAGCTGCAGCAGAAGTAGCAGCACGTAATCTATCTACAAGTCTTCGCCACGCAAGTGTAATTCTACCTCCCCATTCTCTATTCCCTATCCCTCTTCTCTCCTTTTCCCCATTATAATCATCACGCAAAGGCATCGTTGACGATATTGTGTTATTAGTGTTTGTGTTAGAAAATGGCAAAACATAGTTGTCAATGTCATCGTTTGACGATACACGCATGACAGATAGTCGTCGATTGGCAAACATTTGAATTTTAGTTGTGGTAGAGCAACCGTCAACAGTGCAAGTGTCAGCAAAACGAGAGTCAACAGTACAAGTGTCGGTTATTGGATCCTGTGTTGAAGGAAACGTTGGTGTAGTTGGGATTGCGATGTGTAGGTCGGCCTTTGGTTTCGCTGTCATATTTTCCAATGTGGAACTGCTAACGGGCTTTATTATGTTGTTCTTTATTTTATTAAGCAAATACAGTCCGAGTGGGGAGGATGTGTAGTTGATTTTTCTTTTCCCCTTGGAAAAAGGGTGATGGGAATATATAAATATACATACAGTATGTCTGTACAGTAAAATTATTATATATATTATTATTATTGTAATATAAATTACTTTACCAATTCTTTATTCGTGATGATTATTTATACTGTTAATAGTGTAATTTATGTGATTCGCTTAAACATTTATCCAACTAACGTGGCAACAGTCTATTCTCTACAAGTAAAAGAAGATAAGGAACGATTGTTTATGAATGAAACGACGTTGTACCATACCAACTATCCAAGTGGTATTTAGCTTATACAAATATATATATAGTTGTATTCTAAATATTACAGTAGATATTCTTATTATATTCACGGAGGAAATTGCGCAGTGATGATGGTTATTATGACTCATACATTAGATGTTTCGACAACATTCACCATTGGTGTTAATAAGATGAGAGATAGATAGTTATTTATGTGCCGACTTTACTTGCTCGTGAATATGCCCAATTCTCAATTGTTTGTAACCAATAACGGTGATACATGTTTTTTTGATTAACCAGTGCTGGAGTACACACAAAGTACGATAAGCGGGCAAAAGCGCAAAATTTTCATGTTATCTCCATTGACACCCATTGTTGTACCAAGAGCTATTTATTTTGGATATCTGTGTGTCGTTTTGCAGCATAAGGGGGTAAGTAAATTGGGGGGAGTGCAACTCGTAAAAATTTAGTAGACAAGATAATCAACAATGAGCACACAAACAAACACTCATGAATGTCCTCAACTACGCCATCATCTCATATGAAACGCTGTTAAGGCGTAGTCATAATTAATGATACCTCTTACAGACGTAATGATACCACTTGCAGACGTAGTCAGATCGTATCGACAGTAATCAAAAGGTTGCATCTGTATAGTTATGCGCCGCATGCAAGGAGAAAATGAGATAGAATGCAAGCGCCTAAGGAGTGAACGGCAACTTAATCAAACATCTTAAATGATGGATAAATTGATGCCAATAGTAAACTACATATTAAATTATTAATACTGTTTCTCGGTCAACCATTCGAGTCTCCCCCCAACACAATACAATGGAATGTATAATTTATTTATCATAATAAAAATATCAAATGCATTTATACAAATTCTCCTTTCCTGCTTTAATACTTCTTTTCAGCCTTTATCGTTATCTCATCTTACTATCTTTGCTCCGAATCGCTTATGCCTCTTGAAACATCACCTACTGTTTTTGTCGGAATAAGCAAAGTATTGTACTTTTAATAATAAACTTCCCACACAGTCTACTATACTATTTTATAATAGCGTATTATTATATACACAGTATCTCTATTGTACTCACTTCCTCTTTTTGATTGATTATTTTATTTACATCAAAATTTTGTATCCTTAACAATTTGACCATATTCATAAACCGTTACATGGGTGACTCAATAACGTAATAAATGAACTTGCTGCTGTCACAAAATCGAAATTGTAGTCCGTGTGGTTGTGATTCACTGTTACAACTTGTCATAGTATGTGGTATAGCTTTAGCTCTGGGGTTCAGCGCTATTTGCATTTAGCTACTTTATTGTTTCTGTTGGATACAATAAGACAGTTCTTAATGGGCCGCTCATTGTAAATGGTACTGTTACGCGTGAAGCATATAATATTGTCTATCAAGCACTATTACCATTGTAAATTCTTATCTTCGATCGCCGAGTGTTATTGTAAACACCTATTGTTTTCTGATTGTCGGTTACTTACTCAGTTAGACTCGTGGTATTAGACGTTACACTTGGCTCATTTTGGCATTTTGTGGTCAATATAAATGTTTGTATTGTTCATGCAATTGTCGATCAAACGTTTCTCATATTTCAAATTCGTTGCTTTTTACAACGTATTGTCGTTCATATACAGACATGTTTTATAAACGACGAAGATTAAACTTTAAAGTTATGTTTTATTAGCTTGGCGCAAAGAAACAGTGGTAGCATGTGTTGGTAACAATTGACAAAAATATGAATAAATAGTTTGCATCGAGAAAGCTCTAACAAATGTATCCTATAGCTTCCTAACCACATTAGTCACTAAATATAATTGAAGTTAAGGCTATCCGGCTATCCGGCTGTCTATCCATATTATGCCCACTTAATTATTGCCTGACTGATGATCAACCCAAATAAAAAAGATAACCGGTCGATTAGGCGATTAGTTGGCGCAGAGTTTTTAGCCCACAACCCAAACTTGTCGTATAAATCACATCCTGGTCAGTCTTTTTTTTTTTTTTTTTGTTATTTGTATTGCCGAGCACTTATCAAAGCCCCCTTTGTCTGCGACGTTAGATTTATTCTGAAAATTCTAACGTTTTTTATTTGAAATACGGAATGACAAGCAAGTATGACAGTCAATAATTCTTATTTGGAAGTACGAAAGCACACAGTGTCACTGTTTATGTTACAGCGAACCTTATCAGTTACACGTTGTATCCATTTTTGATTCGGTGCTACAAATCATACCTTTAAACATATGTCTAATCAATTTTAAGGCAAATAAAATAACTTGTTGCAAAGCTGCTAGAAAATTTATGTCAACATAACAAAAGACTTGAACCATCTAATCAACAAGTAAATGTGCCTGATGTTAAAATTTATCTTATTATACTCTAATAGTAAGACTTTATATCGTATTTTGCTCACATAATATAGTACTAAATTTTTACGTCTGGACTTCGTACAGTTATACCCCCTTCAGTTATATCCCGAATTTCCCCAACTTTCACAATCCCCAGTTTCCCAATTTTATATCCCGTTATGTATTATGCCATTTCTATACATATAGAAATATATATATATATTGTATGTAAATCCCGTCACTATGTAAATCCCGGATTTACATATTTAAATGCGGGATAAGTCGGTCATTTGCTTCGTTTGGTTAGGCGACGACGCAATAAAATCTGGCCATAAATAAAATCAGGCGATAAGTCGTAAAATCAGGTCATAAATTTAGGTGATAAATAAAATCTGGTCATAACAATAAAATCAGACCATAAATAAAATTAGACCATAAAAATTAGGCGATATGATAAATTAGAATATAAAGTATGCTATCCCTCATTAGATAGTTTGACAACGGATAATAGTTTGGTTAGTGCAGAATTACCTACTGATGAAGAACTCGTTGAATAAATTCGAGGCGTCTTACAACCGACACAAGTAGATATAGAAGACTCAAGTGAGAGAGAAGAAGAAAATATTTCTGTAAAGGTGAGAAGAGAAGCACTTGTGACAGCCAGAAAGTTTTTAGAACAAAGAGAATTTACAACAAAAATGATATTAGATATATGCGCAATATAATAGTTAAGTGCTTAGAGAAAGGTCGACGTCACTAATGGAATTTATTAACCAATAAAATTAGACACAATATTATTTATTGAAATGCTATACCTCAGTTGTAATCCCACCTCAGATATATCCCCAAAAATCCTGGGTCCCAAAGTGGGGGATATAAACGAGGTATGACTGTAATAGTAAACATATACCAAATCATTGGCCAATCATCCAGATATACATAATAATACTTCCCGAGCTCATCTTTTTCACTTTGGATGACTGTGGGGGGAGAATTCTTTATATAGCCCTTTTTACTCCAATCGGAAGCATACTGCAACTAGCGAATTTAAGTCTCAGAATTTCGGTGGCAAGTCTATTTCTGTCTTCTACGTTAGAAAAAGCTGCATCTCGTTTTGCTGTAGAAGGTCGAGCACACATCCGCAGCAATGACACATCACACATACGTTTGTGTTAAAATACTTTCATGTAATACTCATATTCATTCTTGTTGTTCTTATGTCCGGACGATCAATATTCGGATTCACGGAGTATAATAGATCAAATATGGTTGACTACATGTAAAATCTATCAGTAGCATAATCAGGTGCAATCAGTTATAGTCTCACTGAAAAGTAATAGTGGGGTGCTTTTTCTGAAGCAATATAACGGGCATAATAACTATACAAAATTTTAATTTTCCAAATATTTGGAAAAGATATGCTTTTACCATAAAGTTGCCTAATTTTAAGTGCAGCTGTTGGTGTCATAAGCTTCTTTTTTATATCAAGATTATCTAATGACATTAATTTTTACTAAAATTCAATCAGTGGTTATTAAGAAGACAATATTTGATATTTAAAATGGAAAATTTTTTTAAAACATGCTGTACCGAATAATATGCTACTTTTATCTATAAGATTAAATAATTATTACTATACACAGATTTCGAATAATATTATGTGAAAATTACCCTGCCATTACTTTTTTGGGAACTGTATATACAGAGGGTCGCCAAAAGTCTCCGAACGGCGTTTATTAAGTAGTTCTTGACGTCACATGACTTAATGGCAATACAATTGCGATCCTGTTTACGTGAATCAAGCATAAAAACAGCGTGTTAGGCAGAGTTTTAGCTTAAAATCAACTTAATTATCTAAACAACAAAAAATGTTCAAAGAATTAACAAAAGAACAAGGTGGTGCAATAATTTATTGCCGTCAACGTGGTGACAGTTATCGGACTATTGCTACTACCGTCGGGTGTGGAGTGTCTATGGGCCATAGTCAAGAAAAGCACTCGGGAAAGGAAAAACACCCTTCCAATATTGCTGAACTTGACCGATGTGTTAAAAAGGCATCCCTATACATACTATCGAAAATTTGGTTGATAACATGCCACAACAAATTCAAGCCGTGATGATGCCCGATCAAGTACTAGTCACTTAGTACGAAATATAGACCAGACCCTGTTTAAATAAAAAGTTAAGCTTAAGTATTAAAAATCTAAGTTTAATATTGAGCCAGAAATCGTTCGGAGGCTTTTGGCGACCCTCTGTATATAATTTATTTTGTCTGACTGGTTATTAGTA